AGGGAATGGGCAGAACAATGTTGCAGCTATGGTGGAACTTTTTAAGCAAGGTGGAATGAATAGGAGACCCTCTTTTGTTTCAAGAGGGACACATCCCCATTGTGTTTGAAGTGGGAAGTATATGAGTTGAGGGAGTTCCTTTCCTAAACTTCTGTTTTCTCTCTGAGGGGTCAAATTCCTCTGTTGAGAGTGAGAGGTTGGCAGGTAGAAAGTTTTAAGGAGAGGCAAGTTTGGAAATAACAGTTGCAGGGAGAGTAGGAGAGAGATCACATTGACCAGAGAGATAGAGACTCAGTTGAGTTGGTACCCTCACTTATAAAATGATTTTCCTATGTCCTGTTATGTAACTTTCTCTGTCGTTAGTACAAAGAAAGCAAAGATCTGACTTCATTCAGGACAGAAGTTTTGCTGAGTGAGTGTAACACAAAGACAGGTGGAGTGGCATGTCAAACTTTTTCTGACTACGGAGCTCTGCTTTTGTGAGCTTTCTAGCTGGAATGTTTTCTCCTGGCTCAACATTTTCAAATGTTACCTCTGCAGAGAGTTCTTCCCTTATAACCTCTGTGAAGGAGGTCCTGCATTTTGGGTCCTTTCCTGGCAGTCCTTTTATTTCCTTCCTAGACCCACAGTGAAATGATGATTGCTTTCCATGTTGTCTGTCTGTCTACTACAGTAACAGCCTCAAGAAGGCAGGGAACTTGTCTGTCTTGTCTTCATTTTCTAGAGCCCAGTATAGTGCCAGGAAATGATAGGCATTCAGTAAAGATGTGCTGAATGAATGTAATTGAAATAATAGACCAGGGAATATAAGCAGAATATGAAAGGAATTTAAGACAGGAGGTGTGAATGGTAGACATAGAAGGTAAAAAGTAAAGTCTTAAAGACTAAAGATCTTAAGTTAAAAAGAGGTTTCTTAGAGGCAGGTGGGAGTAAGCTGAAAGAATAGGAGGTTGTTGGTGATAGAAAACAGAATGCCTAATTCAGTGATGTAAGATAATGCCACTTCCAGTCGTGATACGATCCTGGTTAAATGCCATGGCTATCAGAGCAAGTAGCTTAGGCAGACTAGAAGTAGTTATAAAAAGTAGTAGATCAATATATGTAAAACAGGCTGTGCCGGCACGGTGGCTCATGCCTGTAATCCTAGCACTCTGGGAGGCCAAGGTGGGTGGATGGCCTGACTCATGGGTTCTAGACCAGCCTGAGCAAGAGTAAGACTCCATCTCTAAAAGTATCCAAGCATTGTGGCGGGTGCCTGTAGTCCTAGCCTTGGGAGGCTTAGGCAAAAGAATCACTGGAGCCAACAAGTTTGAGGTTGCTGTGAGCTGTGACGCCACAGCATTCTACTGAGGGCAACATAGTGAGACTCTGTCTCAAAAAAAAAGAAAAAGAAACAGTAATAAGCATACATGTGTAGTCAAATGAATTAAAATCTTTAATGTCAAGATAAATTATTCCATTCAAATCACTCTATTTAAAATTCTGATAACTAGGAATAGCAGAGGCAAGTGAGACTCTGTGTCAATAAATAAATAAATAAATAAATAAAAATAAAAAACAATATGTTAAAACAGTTAAAATGGAACTCATGTGTAAGGGTATAATGTATAAGAGTGGAAACCTCAGATCAGTGAAGAAAGCGATGGATTATTCAATTAATGGTCTTTAGGATGGGGGAGTTATTTTATATTCTCATTTTATGTCATATTTAGAATAAACTCCAGATTAACTAAAGAGCCAGCAAACTCAATATTATAATGAATGATCCCAACATTTAATAATTAAAAAATCAATTGATAACAAAGCGTTAAAGTCAGAAAATAACCGACTTATGCAGACTAATAAGAAAATACTCAGTTCACAACATAAAAAATGTTCAAAGGACAGAAGTAGGTAGTTTGCAGAAAAGAAAATGCAAATATCTCTATCTTACATAAAATATTTAAAACAAATTAATAATTGACTATATGAGGATTTAAATATGGAGCTATTTTGCCTATCAAATTAGCATGGATTTTCTTAAAATAAATGTATATAGGGCAGCACCTGTGTCTCAGTGGATAGGGCACGAGCCCCGTATACCGAAGGTGGTGGGTTCAAACCCGGTCCTGGCCAAATTGCGACAAAAAAATAGCCAGGCATTGTGGCAGGCGCCTATAGTCCCAGCTACTCGGGAGGCTGAGGCAAGAGAATTGCCTAAGCCCAGGAGTTGGAGGTTGCTATAAGCTGTGTGACGCCACAGCACTCTAATGAGGGCGATAAAGTAAGACTCTGTCTCCACCAAAAAATAAATAAATAAATAAGAAATAAATGTTTACAGATATTTTTATATACTCCTTATAGGATTGCAAATTATGGAAAGCAACCTAACAATTTACATTAAAAGCTTTAACACATTGTGACTCTCTTTTAGGTGTATGTGTGTATACATGTATGTACGTGTATGTATTAGCAAGACTATGTTGAAGAAAAAACATTGACAGTGTAAAATTAGAAATAGCATAATTATGATATGAAAACTAGGCTCAATGCAGGCATTCTTTCTTTTTTTTTTTTTAATTTAATAAATGTTAGTGATTGGCTTAGAGCCCATAATTCAGCGGTTAGGGTGCCAGCTATATGCACCGGAGCTGGTGGGTTCAAACCCAGCCCAGGGCTGCCAAGCAACAGTGACAACAACAACAACAAAAATAGCCAGGCATTGTGATGGGTGCTTATAGTCCCAGTTACTTGGGAGGCTGAGGCAAGAGAATCACGTAAGCCCAGGAGTTTGAGGTTACTGTGAGCAGTGACGCCACATCACTCTACTGAGGGTGGCATAGTGGGA